TGCTCAACAAGTGCGCGATTCTGCCGGGCGTCCTCGGGGAGATCCGGTTGACGCGGACCACGCCGTACCGCACGCAGCTCCTCACCATGGCGGCTTTGCTCTTGTGCATCATCGTCTACTCTCTCGGTGACGAGGGCGAAATTAACATGTCGCTGGTCGGGTTGCTCTTGGGCCTTGGTGCAGCCCTCTCAGATGGAGTCGGCGACATCGCCTTTGAGGCCACGGCGAAGTCCTGCCTCGACGACCTGGAGGAGGATTCGGGTGCCGAGACGCTCAGGTGCTTCCTCGTGAACGAGCTGTACAAGTCCGTGTTCAACATCATCTTGATGCTCGTGTTCGAGCACAATTACTTGTCGCGAGGTCTTTTCCATGGCTGGGGCCTCCCCATGCTCGTCGGCGGTGTCATGTCGCTCCCCGTGATGGTCGCGCTTTACAACACGGCCATCTTGACGGCCGGCAACTTGAAGACCAGGATCGCTGCGTCCGCCGATATCGGCATCGCCTATGTGATGGATGCGATTATCTTCGGTGACACGGTCAGGATCTCCCAGTGCCTGTTGATCCTCGCCATCATCGCCCTGATCGGCGTCTACACCCAGTTCGCCGTCGACGTGCAGAAGGCCGCCGCAGACTCCCCCATCAGGTCGGAGAAGCCAGACGCAGATATTGTGTATGTAGTGTAAAAAGTTGTTCGCGGCCCCTCATCGGGGGAGCTCTGCGTCTCGGCCAAGGCTGGCGACCGCAGTAGTAGCAGTAGTCTTGTTGCCTACGGGCGATGGAACTCTTGGCGGTAATTCGGACGAGCAAGGGGTCATGATAATGATACTTTCCCAGATTTCCAGGATGTCCACTTGTTCTTGATGTTTCTCGGGGCTGCAGAATCGAGGACCACTAGGTTCGCTGGAAATCCTGGAACGTATCCTGAACCAATCCTATCATGACATCGTCCTCGCCTTATTATTGGACTACCACCGCGGCTAGGGTTGTTGGACGACCACCGCGGCTAGTCTTGACGCCATTGTTACTACGATGGCAGTCGGCACTACAACTGAGCAAGTGCACGCATCGGGCCGCAGCGATACCAACCGTGGCCAAATGCTTTACCGACATGCATACACATCAGCGATGCCAATCTGACGCTTCGAAGCTGCGGCCAACCTGCTACTATTGCACACGTATTTTCCGACGATGTCGTCCGTAGGGTGACTTGTCTCTTACGTGGAAGGAAGGTTCTCGATCCGCGCGCGCGTTGTTTTTCTTGCCCTCCTGGTTGCAAATGCTAGGGATGGTGCAGACATCGCCTGCGGTTCCTGTTTCGTCGGTCTAGTTTCAGAGAGCGTCTGCTGAGCTGGCCTGAGCTCGCCTGCGCTGTCTGGGATCTGTGCCCAGCCTTTTTTGCTGCCAACAACGTTAATCATAATTTATGGTCCCCCATATCCTGAGAATCGGGTTCTTGCTATTACTCCGGCCGCGCCGACTGCTCACCTTCACCTCCCTCCTCCTCTTCCTCATCAGACAAGTGTATTTCCTCCGTCTCCATTCTTCACGATGCCTGTCATAGCGCTCTTCTCGAATGATGCTGCCTGATCGTGCCTATCGACTGGTGCTCTGCGCGCCCAGCGACCGTCATTGAGCCTCGGGGCTCTCCTGAGACAGGCGCCGTGGGCTCATTTTCTGGCCGTCAGCTGGCTTGCGGTTGCTTCCCTGAAGTGCACGCCCAGCGCGTTGCATCCACGTCATGTCGGTGATTGCTGCCGAGTATTTGCCCGAACCTCTCCCCCTTCTCGCTTGTCTTTCGCCTCCTGCGTCCTCAACGCTCCGTCATTCCTCGTTCCTCCTGCACGTGCTCCGCCATCCGGCGTGACAGCGCGCGCATTCCGTTTCAAGTCAGACTTCGAGCAGCGCGCGCATTGACGTGGAGCGCTAACTTCGTCCTTAAACAGGGCTTGAGAGTCATGGAGGCTGAACAGCATGCCTTGCGGTTTGGGGGGCTTTCGTCCGCAGTTCGTCGGACTCCGTCGACATTCGGACGAAATCTGGACGAAAAGGTGAAGAGGCGGTCGAAATCTGGACGAGATCTGGTCGACATCGCGTTTATGATAGGGCTGCCGAGGTTCGCAGAGGCTACAGACGTCCACGTCTGGAGCTCCGCGCAGATTTCTTGGATCTGCGCTGGCCCCCCCCCCATCTTGGCGCGCGGAGCGCGCAGAGGGGCCCCAGCGCCGATCCAGGATGTTCCGCGCGGAACTCCGGACGTTTATGCTTATGCAGTTTGTTCGAACGGGCGCGCTGGTGCCACACTTCTCACTCAAAGGGGGGCCCCAGCTTGAAGCTATCCCCGCGCCCCTCCAGTGGAAAAGGGGGCTCTTTGGAAGGGGGGGGGTGGTTTCCAGAGCGTGAAAGGGAGGGGGGGTAGCTTCCGAGGGGCGGAGAGAAAGGAGGGGAGGAGGGGGGGCTTCTGGCAGGGGAGGTCCAGGGGGGGGGGGGGGGCTAAGCCCCCCCCCCTTTGGAAAGGGAGCGGGGGGGGTGTTGCTTCCGAAAAGGGGGGCCGATCCCGGCCAACAAGGTTTAATCCCGGCCCATTTGGGTCCAATCCCGGCCCCTTACACCAAATCCCGGCCGAGTGCAGAGCTCTCAGGAGCTCTCAAGCGGTCTCGAGAGTGCTCTGAAGAAGTCTTAAGAGCGCTCTCAAGAGCGCTCTCAAGAGGTCTGAATGAAGAGCGTTCTGAAGAGGTTTTAGGAGCGCTCTGAAGAGCCTCTGCAAGAGCGATCTGAAGAGCCTCTGAAGAGCTCCTGAAGAGCTTCTGAAGAGCTTCTGACGAGCTTCTGAGGAGCTTCTGGAGAGCGTCTGATGAGCCCAAGAGCTTGCCAGAGGGCTCTATTCGTTGTGAGGTCCTTCGTGGGAGCCTCAGCCAGTCCCAGCATTCCTTGCGGCTTGGTCTGCCAACCCATCTTGGCTCGAGCCCTCCTGGCGCAAGGCCCGTCTCCGCTGGACCCATTCGCTTGCGCGGCAGACCGTTCGTCCGTGCATGCGCCAAGCTGCTGCGTGCGATTTTGGATTGCCAGTGCGTGGCGTGCCCCACAGCGCCCGACAAGGTCTGGAAGGTCACCGTCGGCGCTGGCATGGGACTCCCTTGTAGTGGGGAGGTTGCTGACGCAGCGTATTTCAATCAAGTTGAGCGCGACAGCGTGTCTCAAGATCGTTTCTGTGAGTTGCACGGCATAGTAGCTAGGCATCGTGACGACATTCTGCTGGTGCATTCGGTGTCCAGAGCACAGCTGGATGCCCTTATTGCCAGATTGCAAGAGCTGTCAACGGTGTTTAAGCTAGAAGTTGAGAGTATCGCCTCCGATGAGATTCAGATGCTCGACGTCGTGTTTTACCGTGGGCCCCGCTGGCGCTCCACGGGCATCATGGATCACCGCATCCATATCAAGCGGTCGTCTTTGTGGATCCCCCTCAGCGATCGCAGCATGCATCCCGCCGGCGTGCACCGAGCGTGGCCGCTCGCACACGCGTTCCGCGTGCGCCGTTTGTGTTCGGAGCGGCAGCACGCCGACAGTGAGATCAAGAAGTTTTGTAGCATTTTGCGTCAGCATTCCTCACACATCGCACTATTACCACGAATCTTGGGGGTGCGGCCCCCATTTTTCGCCTCCCTGGCTCGACTGTCCATGAGCAACAGCCTTTGACTCGTATTGTAATGCCGTATTGCAGCCAGTGGCAGGCTGCAGGCGTGCAGCGTGTAGTAAATCGCGCTGTGAAGCCATGGCGCTCTCAACACGGAGGCTTCTCCGCCATAGGCATCGCATGGAGTTTGGGCGACAAGCATCTTGTCCAGATTATCAAGTCGTATAACAGCTCTCTCGAAGAAGGGGGCTGCGGCTTGCGCATTTTATGCACTGCGACTCGATAGTGGTTGGTTGGTTGGGGCTGGTTGGTGGACGCATTGTCTTGCATTGTCTTCTCGGCATCGGTGCCACAACGTTGACGGCAGGCAGCGCATCTCTACATGATAGTGTTTTTGCTCGAACTCGCTGAGCAAGCAAGGATACAGCCAAGGTAGCAGAGTCTTGGCCGAGCACCAAAACATCATCGCCAGATCGCGTGTGTTGCCCATTCCCTGATCCCGGCCAACAAGGTTTATTCCCGGCCCATTTGGGTCCAACCCCGGCCCCCTACACCAAATCCCTGCCGAGTGCAGAGCTCTCAGGAGCTCTCAAGCGGTCTCGAGAGTGCTCTGAAGAAGTCTTAAGAGCGCTCTCAAGAGCGCTCTTAAGAGGTCTGAATGAAGAGCGTTCTGAAGAGGTTTTAAGAGCGCTCTGAAGAGCCTCTGCAAAAGCGATCTGAAGAGCCTCTGGAGAGCTTCTGAAGAGCTTCTGAAGAGCTTCTGACGAGCTTCTGAGGAGCTTCTGGAGAGCGTCTGATGAGCCCAAGAGCTTGCCAGAGGGCTCTATTCGTTGTGAGGTCCTTCGTGGGGGCCTCAGCCAGTCCCAGCATTCCTTGCGGCTTGGTCCGCCAACCCATCTTGGCTCGAGCCCTCCTGGCGCAAGGCCCGTCTCCGCTGGACCCATTCGCTTGCGCGGCAGACTGTTCGTGCGTGGGCCGCACGCGGCTCCGCCCCTTGTGCGCGCATGTCCAAGGCCGCGACGAAGACGAGCACGGCGGCGAGGGTGACTGTCTTGACCAGCCTCCCGGTCTCCCTCGCGTGGCGCTCCGCCGGCTTCCGCTGGGCGCAGGACGACATGCCAGCAGAGTTCTCCCGCGTCGCGCCGCTGCTGCTCGGTTCGCTGCTGCTCTGCGTTGTGCTTCTCTTCCTCCTCCTCGCGGTGCACGGCCGCGCGGAGGCCCGCAAGGTATGCAGCAGGAGGTATGCCAGCGCCGCCCTTCCGGGAGTTTTTTCCGCGTTGACCTTCGTGCTTGAAAACTTCGCGCTCGCGAGCGGCTTCAGCGCGACCCCGGTGGTTCTGCTCAACAAGTGCGCGATTCTGCCGGGCGTCCTCGGGGAGATCTGGTTGACGCGGACCACGCCGTACCGCGCGCAGCTCCTCACCATGGCGGCTTTGCTCTTGTGCATCATCGTCTACTCTCTCGGTGACGAGGGCGAAATTAACATGTCGCTGGTCGGGTTGCTCTTGGGCCTTGGTGCAGCCCTCTCAGATGGAGTCGGCGACATCGCCTTTGAGGCCACGGCGAAGTCCTGCCTCGACGACCTGGAGGAGGATTCGGGTGCCGAGACGCTTAGGTGCTTCCTCGTGAACGAGCTGTGCAAGTCCGTGTTCAACATCATCTTGATGCTCGTGTTCGAGCACAAGTACTTGTCGCGAGGTCTTCTCCATGGCTGGGGCCTCCCCATGTTCGTCGGCGGTGTCACGTCGCTCCCCGCGATGGTCGCGCTTTACAACACGGCCATCTTGACGGCCGGCAACTTGAAGACCAGGATCGCTGCGTCCGCCGATATCGGCATCGCCTATGTGATGGATGCGATTATCTTCGGTGACACGGTCAGGATCTCCCAGTGCCTGTTGATCCTCGCCATCATCGCCCTGATCGGCGTCTACACCCAGTTCGCCGTCGACGTGCAGAAGGCCGCCGCAGACGCCCTCATCAGGTCGGAGAAGCCAGACGCAGATATTGTGTGTGTGGTGTAAAAAGTTGTTCGCGGCCCCTCATCGGGGGAGCTCTGCGTCTCGGCCAAGGCTGGCGACCGCAGTAGTAGCAGTAGTCGTGCTGCCTACGGGCGATGGAACTGTTGGCGGTAATTTCGGACGAGCAAGGGGTCATGATAATGATACTTTCCCAGATTTCCAGGATGTCCACTTTTTCTTGATGTTTCTCGGGGCTGCAGAATCGAGGGCCACTAGGTTCGCTGGAAATCCTGGAAGGCATCCTGAACCAATCCTATCATGTCATCGTCCTCGCCTTATCATTGGAGTACCACCGCGGCTAGGGTTGTTGGACGACCACCGCTTCTAGTCTTGACGCCATTGCTACTACGATGGCAGTCGGCACTACAACTGAGCAAGTGCACCTATCGGGCCGCAGCGATACCAACCGTGGCCAAATGCTTTACCGACATGCATACAAATCAGCGATGCCAATCTGACGCTTCGAAGCCGCGGCCAACCTGCTACTATTGCACACGTATTTTCCGACGATGTCGTCCGTAGGGTGACTTGTCTCTTACGTGGAAGGAAGGTTCTCGATCCGCGCGCGCGTTGTTTTTCTTGCCCTCCTGGTTGCAAATGCTAGGGATGGTGCAGACATCGCCTGCGGTTCCTGTTTCGTCGGTCTAGTTTCAGAGAGCGTCTGCTGAGCTCGCCTGAGCTCGCCTGCGCTGTCTGGGATATGTGCCAAGCCTTTTTTGCTGCCAACCTTGTTAATCATAATTTATGGTCCCCCATATCCTGAGAATCGGGTTCTTGCTATTACTCCGGCCGCGCCGACTTCTCACCTTCACCTCCCTCCTCCTCTTCCTCATCAGACAAGTGTATTGCCCCCGTCTCCATTCTTCACGATGCCTGTCATAGCGCTCTTCTCGCATGATGCTGCCTGATCGTGCCTGTCGACTGGTGCTCTGCGCGCCCAGCGACCGTCATTGAGCCTCGGGGCTCTCCTGAGACAGGCGCCGTGGGCTCATTTTCTGGCCGTCAGCTGGATTGCGGTTGCTTCCCTGAAGTGAACGCCCAGCGCGTTGCATCCACGTCGTGTCGGTGAGTGCTGCCGAGTATTTGCCCCCTTTGGAAAGGGAGGGCGGGGGGGGTGTTGCTTCCGAAAAGGGGAACCGATCCTGGCCAACAAAGTTTAATCCCGGCCCATTTGAGTCCAATCCCAGCCAACGACACCAAATCCCGGCCGAGTGCAGACCTCTCAGGAGCTATCAAGCGGTCTTGAGAGTGCTCTGAAGAAGTCTTAAGAGCGCTCTCAAGAGCGCTCTTAAGAGGTCTGAATGAAGAGTGTTCTGAAGAGGTTTTAAGAGCGCCCTGAAGAGCCTCTGCAAGAGCGATCTGAAGAGCCTCTGAAGAGCTCCTGAAGAGCTTCTGAAGAGCTTCCGACGAGCTTCTGAAGATTTTCTGGAGAGCGCCTGATGAGCCTCTTGAGGAGGCATACTGATACCATTGATATACCGCTACTGCTACTGATACTACTACTACTGCTACTACTACTACTACTACTACTACTACTACTACTACTACTACTACTACTACTACTACTACTACTACTACTACTACTACTACTACTACTACTACTACTACTACTACTACTACTACTACTACTACGACTACTACTACTACTACTACTACTACTACTACTACTACTACTACTACTACTACTACTACTACTACTACTACTACTACTACTACTACTACTACTACTACTACTACTACTACTACTACTACTACTACTACTACTACTACTACTACTACTACTACTACTACTACTACTACTACTACTACTACTACTACTACTACTACTACTACTACTACTACTACTACTACTACTACTACTGTACTACAGATACGAGTACGATTATGGGGTGCGTGCGACAGGGGGGGTGCACATGCGTGTCAGGACCCAGGAGGGTGAAAGGAGCTCGGAGTCGGATGCGTAGCAGGACAACGAGACGGAGGATCGATCCCGGATGGCCCAGACGTGCGCCGCCATTTCACAGTCCTTTCCTGCCGTGCCTTCAGGCCCCGAGTGTGCTTCTATCTTCATTTCAGTTCGACAGGGCGCGTCCTTCTAGATTCTTCCTTACATTCCCTATCGAGATCGGCTCCCCACGAGGACGCGGCTGGCAACGATGTGCGAATAGTAGCTCGCGATTTCCAAACAGGGAGAGGCTGCTTCGGGAGCCTAGCTCTGCTCCGCATCCTCTGCGTCCCATCGTCGTCACCGCCGTCGTGCTCACAAGCACTGTTCTCGACCGCGCAGCAGCCTCATCGTCATGACGGAATCTGGCTAGAAACGCCAGTTGTAATCGCATCAGCATTGGCCAAGAGAGAACATCTGGGGGGACGTAGGGGAGGAGAAAGAAGACAAGAGTGGCGGAGGGGCAGGAGGATCGGGCGAAGAGAACTATGCACATGCACCGATCCTTGCATATGCCTTCTTGGCCAAGACAGGAGGGCGTATGCACCGATCCTGGGCTCAGGATGGCCCTGGCCAACATCGGTGTATTTGCATAGGGTTTTTCTCTAACAGATAAGAGATAAAGGGGATAAAGGGGCAATTCCTGGGAGTCGACGGGGGAAGAGGTGGGGAGGAGGATGACGGGTCCATTTCAGGCCTCTGGGGGTGTCCGCTGTGTGGGGTTGGCTGCGCAGCTCTTCCTCCTCCGCTTCGCCTCCGCCTCCTCCTCCTCCTCCTCCTCCTCCTCCTCCTCTCCTCCTCCTCCTCCTCCTCCTCCTCCTCCTCCTCCTCCTCCTCCTCCTCCCTCCTCCCCCTCCTCGTCCTCCTCCTCCTCCTTCTCCTCCTTCTCCTCCTCCTCCTCCTCCTCCTCCCCCTCCTCCGCCTCCTCCTCCTCCTTCTTCTCCCTCCCTGCCTCCGTCCCCGCCTCCTCTCCTCCTCCTCCTCCTCCTCCTCCTCCTCTCGGCCTCCTCCTCCTCCTCCTCCTCCTCCTCCTCTCCCTCCTCCTCCTCCTCCTCCCCTCTCCTCCTCTTCCTCCTTTTTCTCCTCCTCCTCCTCCTCTCCTCCTCCTCTCTCCTCCTCCTCCTCCTTCCTCCTCCCCCTCCCTCCTGCCCCTCCCTCCTCCTCCTCCTCCCTCCTCCTCCTCCCTCCCTCCTCCTCCCTCCTTCCCTCCTCCCTCCTCCCTCCTCTCCTCCTCCTCCTCCCTCCTCCCTCCCCCTCCTCCTCCCTCCTCCCTCCCTCCTCCTCATCCTCCTCCTTCTTCCCCTCCTTCTACTCGTTTTTCTCTTCTTTCTCCTCCTCCTCCTCCTCCTCCTCCTCCTCCTCCTCCGCCTTATCCATCTTCTCATCGGCCTCATGATCATTCTCCTTCCTCCTCCGCTTTTCCCCTGCTGTTTCGCGTGTTTTCTGCAGCTCTCTTCCGTCTTAGTCGCACTTGGAGCATGCTGGCACAATGCTACCCCGCATCGGACGATGTTAGCCTGTGTGCCAGCAGCCGCTCCACTGAAAGTGTCCAAGTGCCCAGCTTGCCGGCCTCTCGTGAGAAGATGCTTGAATCTGTGAGTCTTTTGAGGCTCGCACGGAGAAGGGGGACGCAGTAGCCACAGCAGCGGCAGGGCAGGCCCTGTGGCCGCTTCACCAGAAGTACGGCCTCAAGAAGGCCCCAGCTAGTCTCCCTCTCCCTCTCTGTCTCTCTCTCTCTCTCTCTTTGTCTGTTTGTCTGTCTGTCTATCTGTCTGACTGACTGAATGTCTGTCTGCCTGTCTGTCTGTCTGTCCGTCTGTCTGTCTGTCTGTCTATCTAGTTTTTTTTTTTGTTTCTCTCTCTCTCTCTACACACACACGTAACATGTGTACATATATGCATCGTTTACGTATACATACATCGGCCCAATGAAAGTTCCTAAGCCGACGGAGGTAAAACGAGGCGGACGACGGCGGAAGGCCGTTGGAAGGTTTGCGGAAGACAGCGGAAGTAAATGACGCCTTGTCCGAATCCCCCTACCCCCCGTAGAAGCCTAGCAATGTAGTTTTCTGCCGTGGGCTGGGTGGGATCCCGCATAACTTACTCCCCTTTAATATCATAACTTTAGTTCAGCCAGACTAAAATCCCACCCATTAGAAGCAGGGTAAACAAATATCCCGGGTCATCCACGGATCCCGCCATGCTGGGATCGTTTCGAAGTGAGATGGGCTTTCGAAATTGCAGCATCCCTGGCATGTCAGGGTCGTCTTGAGATCATCTTGAGGTCAGATCTCGGTCATGCTTGGATCGCGCAGCCGTCGCGTGTTCATTCTGGGGCCACCCTGGGCGCGCGTGGATCCATCTTGTTGCCACTGGGCCATCTCGGCGTCACTCGTGGCTCGTGTGTTCGGTCATCTTCGAGTCGGCCTGGGGCGGTCCAGAATCCATGGCGGCATCGTGTTGGGGTGGCGTCATCCCAGGGTCGTCTGGACGTCACCGTCTGTGGCCTCAGGCCCTCTTAGCACCACTGTGTGGCCATGGGCACGTCTTGGGATCTCGCGCGCGCGAGCGCTGAGCACGCGCGCGCAACAACTCATATCGCCGATGGGCGTACTCACATATACTTCTTGTTGCGAGTTTCCAATGACTCTTTTGTTGGAGCCAAGTGTGTGTGTATATCTATAGATATGTGTGAATCTATTATAATGTGTAAATATGTGTATCGCTTGGGATTGGTCCCCTTCTCTCACTATCTCTGTCTCTCGGCCCCCGCCCATCCGCGGGCTCAGAGCGAGAGCTGGACCGCCAAGCGTCCACAAGCGCTCAAAGCTTCTGCGGACCCTCCCCGCACTCGGACCAGGGGCCTTTTGCCGCACCGGCCAGTCAAACCCCCCCCCATTGTCCCCCGTTTCTTCTCCTCCTCTCGGACCCCGCGCGGGCGGAGGGGGAGGCTGGAGAGGCCGTCCCAGCACAGCTCCAGGGAGTCCACCTGGCGATCGGGGCGGTGGAGGTGGGCACCGCCGCGCCGCGCCCCCCGTGCGCCGCCGAGGCCTGGCTCACGCCCCAGAAGGGGGCCTCAGCTGCGAGAGGCGCGGTCGGACCGGGGTATAGGATCGAGGTCGGCTCGGGGAGGGTACCCTCATGTCCTTCGTGCTTGTTGGGTGCTCGTGTACGTCCTCGGGGGAGGGTTGGGGATGGTGCCTTCGAAGGTTCCTCAGTGCGGCCGGCGGAGGGTCTCGCGTTCTCGAAGGATGTTCTTCTAGGCCTCCCAGATGGGGTCCGAGTAGATGGGGTCGGAGAGTTGCGCTGCATCGCCGACGCGACGATGCGGCTCGATGCGGAGCCCGATTTGCTCCACGCCGACGCCGCGAATGCGTCGCCGACGTCGCCGATGCAGCGCGATCCTTCGACCTCCCCTGAGATCGGACGCTACGAAAAATTGCCACATCGCAAAAAAAACTCGCCCGGACCCCCAGACCCCATCTTTCTGCGTCCTTTTTTCGAGCCGCATCGATCTGTGAGGGCCCCGGGGCCCGAACTCGAGCGACGACGCCAGGATCTCAGGGACGTCAGGGCTCTGCCGTATTTTTAGGGGCTGCGGCCTCGCGCGACGTGCTCAAGCGGGCACAATGCGCGCGCGCGCGTTTCGCCGCCCGAGCGCCTGCACCAGCGCCTGGCTCGCTCGCTCGCTCTCGCCCACGGGTCCTCCTCCGGAGGCTTCTGGTTCTCCTGCCATCTTGGACCCCGTCTGGGAGGCTTCCGGCTCTTCCGCCCCAGGCCCGGCCGCATCCGTCCCCGCGAGGCGGCGCGGCCTCGGCCAGCGAGCCGCCTCGCGGGGGCTGCGCGCACTGCGCGCGCACGCGGCGGGCTCCGGCGCGCGGCGCGCGCGCGGAGTCCGAGGGCCCACGGGGCACCGCCGGTGGCCATCCGGGGATGGTCGCTGCCCCACCGCATCGCTGAGGCGATCGCAAGCATGGATTGAGGTCGGTCTCGTTTCACCGATCCCCATCCCCATCCCCATCCCCATCCCCATCCCTTTCCCCATCCCCATCCCCATCCCCATCCCCATCCCATCCCCTTCGAGACCCCCACCAAATTACCACCCCAGTTGGGGATACACCAAGCCCGAAGGATACGGCCTATATTCCCATCTAGGGGGTAAATCGGCCAGTGGGGCCCAGCCCACGCTGGTGGGGATGGGGATCGGTTAAACGATACTCAAACATGGATTAAGGGGGCGTGGCTTAGCGACGGAGTTCGGCCGCCGAGCGGGGCGGCACTGGCCGCATTTTGGGGAGGGCGCCTCCCCCGATCGATGGATTCGGCGACCGCGCGCCAAATCCATGGATCGCTAATCCATGTTGGTGCGCCCCCGAATTGTGCGGTAGCAAATCATGGGAGCCTGGTGTACCTTTCTCATTCCGTCTTCAGCGTCGATGGTCGTGGATGAGCGTCTGGGAGTTGATGAGGTCGCGCCGATTCCGCGTCGGCTAGCGCCGATTCAGCGCTGATGCAGCGTCGATGCAGCGTCGACTTGGCGTCGATTTGGCGTCGATCAGCGTCGACCCGTACGAGCTGGCAAGATGGTCTGGCAGGCTCGCACGAGTTGCCGCCGAGGCATCCGCCGATCCAGGGCCCGGTGCCGCATCGGGCACCCTCGTTGCCTGCGCCGCGTCGGGCCCGGAGAAGTGCTGCCTCCGCCCTCCCCAGGCCCCTTCCCCCCTCCTCCTCGCCCACTCCCCTCCCCCTGAAGGCCTCCTCCTCCTCTCCTCCTCCTCCTCCTCCTCCTCCTCCTCCTCCTCCTCCTCCTCCTCCTCCTCCTCCTCCTCCTCCTCCTCCTCCTCCTCCTCCTCCTCCTCCTCCTCCTCCTCCTCCTCCTCACTCCTCCTCCTCCTCCTCCCCCCTCCCCCCTCCTCCTCCTCCTCCTCCTCCTCCTCCTCCTCCTCCTTCTCCCTCCTCCTCCTCCTCCTCCTCCTCCCCCTCCTCCTCCTCCTCCCTCCTCCTTCTCCTCCCTCCTCCTCCTCCTCCGCCTCCTCCGCCTCCTCCTCTCCTCCTCCTCCTCCTCCTCCTCCTCCTCCTCCTCCTCCTCCTCCCCTCTCCTCCTCCTCCTCTCCTCCTCCTCCTCCTCCTCCTCCTTCTCCTCCTCCTCCTCCTCCTCCTCCTCCTCCTCATCCTCCCCTCCCTCCCCTCCTCCTCCTCCTCCTCCTCCTCCTCCTCCTCCTCCCTCCTCCTCCCTCCTCCTCCCCTCCTCCTCCTCCTCCTCCTCCTCCTCCTCCTCCTCCTCCTCCTCCTCCTCCTCCTCCTCCTCCTCCTCCTCCTCCCCCTCCTCCTCCTCCTCCTTCGTCGCCGCCTCGGCGACGGGTGGTAATGGGGGATGGCCCAAACGGGGGGTGAAGAAAGGGGCCCCTAGAGGGGCCCTTTGCAGGGCTCCTTTGCAGGGCCCTAAACGGGGCCCCTGATGGGGCCCCTCTCTTCACCCCCCATGCGGGTCCCCCCCCGTTACCACCTGCCCGACCTCCGCGCGCGCAGCCCCGCCGACGTCGGCGACTACTCAAGGGGAGCGTGGTCGCGCCGTGGTGCGGTGTGCTCTGCGTCGCTGGGGGCTCTGGGGGGGGGGCCCGCGTCGCCCTCGTCGGGGCCTCTTCGGGGCGCGGCGGGGAGCTCTCTCGGCAGCAAATCCTGCGGGCCTGGCATACCGTGAAAATCCATAGCAAGGGCGGATAACCTTCCCAAGGGTACCCTTGCGTCCTCAGATTTGTTCGGCAGTGCGCCGCTAGAAAAGCTTCAACTGGGGCTTCCAAGGACCGTCCAAGGAGTCTTGCGTCATTGCAGCGCGTCCTTACTACGGATGTTTGACTTTACCCTCTTAATTTCTTCTGTAGCGTCCTCTAGCGTCGACTAGCGTCTTGGAGTCGGTGAGATAGCGCCGATGTAGCGTCGATTTAGCGTCGACTAGCGTCGACTCGCATGAGTCAACACGATGGTCTGGGAGGGGCTCCCGTGAGTCCCCACAGAAACTTATATCCAGGTCCTCGCCCGCCCCCAGGGTGCGTGTTGCAAATCGCACCCTTGGCAGACCACACCCTTTGGAGTCGTCGACGATGGCCCAATCAGCTCTCCCGAGGAGGGCGCGCCACGCGTGGTGGGGATAAACGTAAGTTGGGCATGCCTCTCTACAAGAGGGGTATTGACGAATGGTAGAACATAGTCAGGTGACGATTCTTGGTGCTCTTCTGATCATCCACAAAACTTCATTTCACGAAATCCGCCTGTAGGATAACATACCCGAGCTGAGGGTAAACGCTTATCTCTCTCTCTCTCTCTTTCTCTCCGCTCTGCTGCTCTGCTGCTTGTGCTCTGGGCCCTGCTGGGAGGCGGCCCTCCCCTGGAGGAGGAGCATGATCAGGAGGAGGAGGATCATAACAGCAAGCAGGAAGCGCACGAGGCTTATCATCAGGGCCTCCTTCTCTCGTGATCGAGGACTATCCGTTCTCTCTCTCTCTCTCTCTTTCTTTCCTTATTTTGCCAGTTACCCCTGCCCCCCTTGCCCTTACTTGTATCTGAGTCTCCCTCCTCTGCCTCTCGCTCCCCCTCTCCCCTCCTGCGATCCCCCCTCCTGCCCAATTCGCATCCTTTCCAATTCTCCCTGAGTCCTGTCTTCTCCTCCCATCCCCTCCCTGAGTCCTGTCTTCTCCCTCGCCTCCTGCCGCCACTCCTCTGCTGCCTGGAGGTCATCATGTCGACCTACCAGGCTGCGAGCGGGGCTGGCGCGGAGGGCATGGCCGAGCTCGAGACTGGCATCAAGGAGGGACGCGGGTGGAGGAGGAGGAGGAGGCGGAGGAGGAATAATACTAATGATGTTAACAATCAAGGGAACACTCATAATATGAATACTAATACAATAATAGTATGATCAATCGCAATAGCAATAACACTAACCATAATAATAATACTAAAACTATTCATAATAATAGTCATAATAATTGTAATATTATTAATAAGAATGATGATAATAATAAAAATACTAATATTCATAATGATAATAATAAGAAGAATAGTAATACTAATAATAAGATTCATCATAAGACGAAGGCGACATAGAAGAAGAAGACTAAGACGAAGACGAGGGGGATGAAGAGGAGGCGTAGGCGGAGGCGGAGGCGGAGGAGGCGGCGGAGGCGGCGGAGGCGGCGGAGGAGGAGGAGGAGGAGGGAGGAGGAGGAGGAGGAGGAGGAGGCAGGAGGGAAGAGGGAGGAGGAGGAGGGAGGAGGCAGGTGGAGAGGAAAGGGAGGGGAGGGAGGGAGGAGGAGGAGGGAAGAGGGAGGAGGGAGGAGGGAGGAGGAGGAGGAGGAGGGAGGAGGAGGAGGAGGAGGGAGGGAGGGAGGAGGCAGGAGGGAGGAGGGAGGAGGGAGGAGGGAGTAGGGAGTAGGAGGAGGGGGAGGAGAAGGAGGAGGAGGAGGAGGAGGAGGCGGAGGCGGAGGCGGAGGCGGAGGCAGAGGCGGAGGCGGAGGAGGAGGAGGAGGAGGAGGAGGAGGAAGAAAAATCGGCATCGAAAAAAACTGTCAGAGCTCCTCGCGGATTGCTCGGATCGGCGCTGGGCCCCTGGCGGCTCGTCCCGCGCCGATCCAAGAAATCCGCGCGGACCTCCAAACATTTCTGCCCATGCGGTTTTTTGTCCCTATCTGTGTGGGTGGGAGCGGGGCGTGGCAGGCGGCCAACAGGCCGGCGGCGCACAAGCTTCGACCCGCTGTTCGTGAGGATGGGAAGAGTGGTGGCAAGCTTGCACAGGAGGGATATCGTGCAGAGGGGGCCCATGCCAAGAAACACCCTGTGTGTCTCCAGGGTGCCCTGGATTTCTTGGGGTTCGATGGTCTTGTTGTGGAGATCGTGGCGCTCCCGCACCAAAAACCAGTGGACGTCCTGGGGTGTCAGGGTTGGTTTTCTTGTGGAAGGTTTCTTGTGGACTGGCCTCCACTGTGCCCTCTAGTAACCACGAACCCTTGATGCAGTGGCGACCGCAGGAGTTCAAGTCTGTCGCAGACCATGTTGCTAATGGAGTTTTTGACTGTGCTGGGCCCTTCGTCTCTCGCGCTGAAGCAGGCGCCGGAGATCATCGAGATATGCAGCTCCATATTGAGGCCCAAGACAGAGGCCAGCCCAAGACATATTGTATTTGATGTCGAGGCCTAAGACAGAGGCCAGCCCCATTTCTGCTGGCTTGTGTGCAGGTCGCATCATCTGGGGCCCTGGGCATCCCCATTTCAGGTCGAAGCTATCGCGCTTCAGACGGGGCTCGCGGAAATGATGGAGTATTTGCGAGGCCTCGTGCATTGTCGCGTGTAGCACTCATTTAGATTCTGCATTATTCCACTGTGGCGCTGCCACTGTCTGCTGCTGAAGATGTATCGGGGACGCCCGGGCGTAATCGTGCGCGAATAAGAATCATGCGACGATGGAAGCCCGGGAGAAAGAAGGGAGCGTTTAGAATTAATGTTCGGGCCGTACGAGGCCTGCCAGTGCACGCTCGTGCCCAGATCCGCGCTAGGAGTTCGCGGCCACGGGGAAGGTCTCCCCGCCGAAATTCTTCGCGCACCAGCTGCCCTTCAACGTCACCCCCTAAGAGGCGGCAGATCGCAACTGCAGAAGCCTGGCGGCATTATCGCCTTTTCTCGTGATGGTCGGCAGATTTACGCGCGGCGTTCCTGTATGAACCAGGTGCGCAGGTGCTGCTGCTGGTTTCCCCCTCCTTCCCCTCCTCCCCCTCCTCCTCCTCTTCCTTCTCCTCCTTCTTCTTCTCCTCCGCCTCCTCCCGCTCCTCCCACCCTTCCTCCTCCTCCTCCTCCTCCTCCTCCTCCTCCTCCGCCTCCTCTTCCTCCTTCGAAAAGGAGGGCCGGGCGTTTTGCTTGTGACTTCGCAACTTATGATCCTGCAATTTGAAATTTACAACAGTTTCACTGATGGAGGGCGGCCCTCAAAATATGGCTCTCGCCTTAGGGCCGCGCACATTCGTTTTAAAAGTTTGCAAGAGTTTCACGACTGGAGGGCGGCCTGTTTTCAAAATGCGGCTCTCGCTTTCAGCGCCGCGCGCATTCGTCCTAAAGTTTGCAAGATTTTCACTGGTGGAGGCCAGTCCATTTTCAACTTGTGGCTCTCGCCTTAGCGCTACGCAGATTCGTTGTAACATGTTGCAAGAGTTTCATGGATGGAGGGTTGTTCTTTTTCAACCTGTGGATCTCGCTCTGCCGCCACGCACGCTCGTCTTCTTAAGATTTTGCAGTATTTTCAAGGGTTCTCATGGTTAACGTCCCAGAAGGGTATTTTGGCACGATGTCGGAATGTCAGGGCGCAACAGTCACGTTGATTCGCGGTGTTGAGGTCCCAGGAATGGTGTTTTGGTACGATTGAGGATCGTCAAGACGCGACAGTAACGGTGATTCGCCGCGTTGAAATCCCAGGAAGTTTGTTCTGGCACAGTTCCGGATGTTCAAACGGTTGTCTTCAAACGGGGCATTGGCTCCGTGTACCAGCTTGTGAAGAGGGAATTTGGAGGTAGGGTTTATTGCAATATCATTGATGAGTCTTGGGTTTGCATAGGTCCCCCTCCTCTTCCTCCTCCTCCTCCTCCTCCGCCCTGGCTGGCGCTTAGCTGAAAGGAACCCGCCCTGTCGATCGGGGCCTGCTTGTGCCGCCGACTCGGCCGACCCGTCGGTCGGTCGGGACTGGGGGGGCGGTGGATCGGCCTCCTCGGGTCTCAAGAAACGGGGGTCAATGCGAACGGGGGTCAGCCAGAGCCCCAGGTCCTGCAGGATTCTGCAGAGCCAGGGGTGCATTGACCCAGGTTCGCGCAGAGTATCCTGCAGGATCCTGCGGGATCCTGCAAGGCCTGACTGACCCGGGTCTGCGTTGACCCTGGTCCTCGCGTCCCCGATCTCCGTCGACCTGGGCGCCCTGCGCTGCGGGGGCGGACCAGTCGGCCGGATTTTTCATCTGGACCAGGCGGTGTGTCACTCGATTACACGTAAGACAGACCGTTCGCCGGAGTGACCTCTGGTGCGGGCCCACTGGTCCCCCGATCGCCGAACGCGATACGGTAGTAACGTCTTGCGCGCTTGGGTTTTTGGCGCCCCCGCGGCCCCCAAAAAGCCACGCACCAGAGGTCGCTCTTGCCCAGGGTCACTCCGGCGTAGAGTCGAATCGCACAGCCAGGGCGCTGAGCTACGAACCACCTTGGGCTTGACAGGGGCTCCCGGCTTCGGGTCGTTCCTCGGGCTCCGGCCGGGGAGCCCAGGGCCCCACTCGTGGCCGGTGCTCGCCGTGGCCAGAAGCGCCCCTGCGTTCCCGAGGCAGCGTTCCTTGTGGTGGCGCGAGGGCCGTGTCCTCCGCGGAGGGCAGCTCCGCGCCACCTCCATCCCTGGCCGGGGCCGTCCTGGGCCCAGGGCAGGCGTTCGAGGGGGGATTCACTGCAGAAGCGATCTGCCCCGAAGTCGACTTCCGCTGGATCTACGAGCAAGAAAACAATAATGCTCCACATGCTGTCACAAAGTCGACGAGAGAATCAAGCTCGGGATGTAGATCAAGTCTGGAGCCGAGCCCCTCGAGGCGTGCACTCCCTCGTGGCCTCGGCCAGGAGGTCTGTGCATCCTCCTGGGGCCCAGGACGGTCCCCCGCGCCAGGGACGGAGGTGGTGCGCAGCCGCCCCCCTGCGTTATGATGTTCCAGCCTGCTTAAGCCCTGATCGCCAGAAAGAACTTCGAGCACCGGGCAAGTACCGAAGCTGGAGGGCTTTCACGCGTCGGGCCCTGGGAGGCGATGCTCGTTCGACGCCGCCTCGATGCCTCTCTGGGCGCTCGAGAGTACTGCTGGGATGTGGCCCTCAAAGTGCGACGGGAGCGACACGCAGCCCCCGCGGAGGCTGGCTCCGGGGCTGCTCGGCGGCCAGCCTGGCCGGGGGGGCGGGGCTGGGCCTTCTCGGGAGGCCCGGAAGGCCCCACGGCCGTCGGAGACATCTGCGGAGCCGTCCCCGAGGGCACTCGCCGAGCGCGTGCCGCTGCTCGCAGAGTGCCCCCTCGCGGACGTCCGAAAGCACGCACGCGCACAGCTGTTCGCCTCGATCTGCTACTGGATCGTAAGATCCGAGGCGGCGGATCGAGGTCGTTTGCAAGGAGTTACTTCTGCGAGTGGTGGGGCGCGCTTGTCTAGACACAGGGAGCCTCTCGGAAGGCGCGAGGGCTTCTGAGAAGCCCCGCCGCCTTCTGAGGAGGCCTTCCCCCGTCTCGATTTCCCCCCCCCCCCGCTCACCGCCGAGTTGCGCCCCTATCCAAGGTCATCCCCCAGATCGACGCCTTCCAGGAGAACGGCTACACGAAGGAGGAGATGAAGGCCCCGGATGATGACGAGGAGGAGGACGACGACGACGACGCCCCGCGGGCCCGCGGGCGCTGCGCCCTGTGGGTTGCAACGGGCTTGGGAGCGGGCGCGGGAGCCTTCGCGGCAGCAGGCGAGCTCGCGGAGGCCGCGGCGGGGCCGGGAAGCACGGAGGGGGGGCGGGACGCTGCGGGGAGGCGGGGAGGCGAGGGAGGCGAGGGATGAGGAGGAGGCGAGGCGAGGGAGGCGAGGCGAGGGAGGCGAGGCGAGGGAGGCGAGGCGAGGGAGGCGAGGCGAGGGAGGCAAGGCGAGGGAGGCGAGGCGAGGCGAGGCGAGGGAGGCGAGGGCTCACGAGATGACGAGAACAGAGAAGAGTGCGCAAGCCAGCTGCCCGCAAGCAGGTTGCCCGATGAGGAGGAGGAGGAGTGGAAGGAGGAGGAGGCGGAGGAGGAGGAGGGGGAAGATGGGGAGGAGGAGTGGGAGGATGGGGAAGGGGTGGAGGAGGGGGGAGGAGGTGGGTGATGATGATACTGTTGATGCTGATTCTGCTGCTGATGATGGAGATGATGACGATGATGACGAGTATGATGTATATGATGTATATGATGATGACGATGGTGACGATGTTGATAAGGATGATGATGATGCTGATGATTATGATGACGATGATGAAGCTGGTGATGCCGATTATGATGATGATGACATATACGATGATGATGATCATGACGATGATGCTGATGGTAATGGTGATGATGATGGCGATGGTGATGGTGATGATGATGACTCCGCCGATGATAGATAGCAATGATGGAGATGATGCTGTTGATGATGATACTGTGATGGTGGTGATAATGGTGATGATGATGATGAGGATGATGGTGGTGGTGGTGATGATGGTCATGATGGTGATAATAATGATGAGGATGATGATGATGAGCATGTTGATGCTGATGATGATGACGATGATGATGACGGTGATGATTACGATGATGATGGCTACTTATGATGATGATGATGATGATGATGATGATGATGATGACGATGACGACAAAGAGGACGATCGTGCTGCTGCTGATGATGGCGACGATGATGATGATGATGCTGATTGTGCTGATTCTGCTGCTGATGATGATAAACTGATAATGATGCTGATGCCGATGCTGATGCTGATGCTGATGCTGCTGATGATGCTGATGCTGCTGGTGATGATGCTGATGATAATGTTGAGGATGAGCATGCTCATGCTCATGCTCATGATCACGATGGTGATGATGATGACGATGATGATGATGCTGATGATGATGTTGATGATGATTATGATGTTGATGCTGATGATGATGACGATGCTGATGATACTGATGACGGTGATGATGATGATGATGATGATGATGATGATGATGATGACGATGCTGAGGGTGAGTATGATGATGGTGATGATGTTGCTAATAATGATGATGACGATGATGATGATGATGATGGTGGCTGTGGTGATGATGCTGATGATGACGCTGCTGATGATGATTATGATGATGCTGATACTGATGATGATGCTTATGATGTTGATGATGATTATGACCACGCCGACGATGATCATGATGTCGATGCTGATGCTGCTGATGCTGCTGCTGATGAGGATGATGATGATAATGGAAGGTGATGGTGAGTGTGACTGTGATTATGTTGCTCTTGTTGATAATGGGGGGGACCAGGATGATGACGATGATGATGATGATGATGCTGATGGTGGTGATGACGATGCTGCTGATGATGTTGCTGACGATGATGATGACGATGATCATGATGCTGATGGTGATGATGAGGATGATGCTGATGATGATGCTGATGCTGCTGCTGCTGATAATGATGATGACGATGATGATGATGACGATGCTGTTGAATATGATGATGACGATGATGATGACGATGATGAAGATGATGATGCTGCTGCTGATGATGATGATGCTGCGGCAGATGATGATGTTGTAGATGGTAAACGATGGTGATGGTGGTGGTAATGGTAATGGTGATGCTGGTTTCGTCGATGATCATGATGGTGATGATGAGGTTGCTGCTGATGATGCTGATGATGATGATGTGGTGATAATGATGAGGATGATGCTGATGCTGATGCTGCTGCTGATGATGATGATGATGATGCTGATGCTGATGCTGATGCCCATGCTGACGCTGATGCTGATGCTGATGCTGCTTCTGATCATTATGATGCTGATAATGATAATGCTGATGATAATGCTGATGATAATGCTGATGATGATGATGACGGTGATGATGATGCTGATGATGATGACGATGATGATGCTGATGATGATGATGATGATGATGATGCTGAAGAGGAGGAGGAGGAAGAGACGGGAGAAGGAGGAGGAGAAGGAGGTGGAGGATGAGGAGGAAGAGCAGGAGGATGATCAGGAGGAGGAGGAGGAGAGATGAGGCGGTTGCTGATGATGCTGATGCTGCTGCTGATGATGATAAATGCCGATGTTGATGATGATGTTGGTGGTCATGGTGGTGATGATGAGGATGGTGGTGGTGGTGATGATGATGAGGAGGATGTTGCTGCTGCTGATGATGATGATGCTGATCTTGAGGAGGATGATAATGCTGATGACGATGATGATGCTTATGATGATGACGATGATGATGATGCTGATGATGATGATGCTGATGACGATGATGATGATGATGATATGATGCCGCGGTTGCTGCTGCTGATTATGATATGATGGTGGTGATGATGATGCTGATGATGATGATTGCGATGATGATGATGATGATGATGATGATGATGATGATGATGATGATGATGATGATATGATGAAGATGATGATTGAGATGAGGAGGAAAAGGAGGAGGAGGAGGACCAGTGTAAAACCAAGAGTCATCAACTATGTTGGAATTAACCCTCCCTCCAAGCTCCCTCTTCATAGGCCCCCACAACGGTTCATTTCCATTGAGGGAACTGCCTCGATGGAAGACAACCGTTTGAAGATCCTGAAGCATACCAAAACATTGTCCTCGGGATTTCAACGCCACGTATCCACCTGACTGCTGTGTCTTGACGATCCGGAATCGTGCCAGAGCGCCATTGTTGGGACTTCAACACCGCGAATCAACATAACTGCTGCGCCCGCGTAATCCTGAATCCTTCCAAAACACCATGTCTGGTACGTGTTGATCATGGGAACCCGTGAAACTCTTGCAAGTGTTGAGAACGAAATGTTCGCGGCGTTTTGGCGAGAGCCACATTTTGAAAAGCAACCGGCCTCAATCTGTGAACCTCTGGGAAATTTTGAAAACGAATGTGCGCGGCGTTAGGGCGAGAGCCACGAACACACAAACACACACCGACACGCACAGACTCACACAGACACGCACAGACACACACACAGACACAGGCACACACTGACACACAGACACAGACACAGACACAGACACACACAGACACACACACACAGACACGCACAGACACAAACAAAACACACAGACACAAAGACACACACAGACATGCACAGTCATGCACAGGCACGCACATACACACAGACACACAGACTTACACAGACACATATACACACAGACACACACAGACACACACACGGACAAACACAGACACACACAGACACAGACACAGACACAGACACAGACACAGACACAGACACAGCAGACACAGACACAGCAGACACAGACACAGCAGACACAGACACAGACACAGCAGACACAGACACAGACACAGCAGACACATTCACAGACACAGACACAGACTCGTTCACAGGCACAGACACAGACACAGCACACACAGACACAGACACAGCAGACACAGGCATAGACACAGACACAGACACACACACATTCAGACACAGCAGACGCAGAAACAGACAGAGACACAGGCACAGACACAGGCACAGAAAGACACACAGACACACAGACACACAGACACAGACACACAGACACGCACAGAGACGCACAGACACACAGACACACACAGACACACACACACAGACGCACGCAGGCAAACAGACACAGACACACACAGACACACACACAGACACACACAGACAAAGACACACACGCAGGCAAACAGACACACACAGACACATACACAGACACACACACAGACAGGCACAGAAACAGACACAGACACAGACACATACAGACACACAAACACACACAGACACACAAAGACACACACACATGCATGCACCGACATGCACAGACACGCACAGACACACACACACACACATAGACACACAGACACACACACACACAGACACACATACACACAGACACACACAGACACACACACACACGCAGACACAGACACAGGCACAGACACAGACACGGACACAGACATAGACACAGACAGACACAGACACAGACACACACAGACACAGACACAGCAGACACAGACACAGCAGACACAGCAGACACAGCAAACACAGCAGACACAGACACAGACACAGACACACACGTAGAGACACAGACATAGCAGACACAGACACAGACACAGCAGACACAGACACAGACACAGACACAGACACAGACACAGACACAGACGCAGACACACACACAGAGACACAGGCATAGCAGACACAGACACAGACACAGCAGACACAGACACAGACACAGACACACACGCAGACAGACACAGCAGACGCAGATACAGACACAAACACAGACACAGACACAGACACAGACACCGAGACAGAGAGACACAGACACACAGGCACACACACAGACACACACACACACAGACACTGACAGACACGCACAGACACACAGACACACAGACATGTACACAGACGCACACACAGACACACACAGACACACACACAGACACACACGCAGACACACACAGACACACACACACACAGACACACGCAGGCACACACAGACACACACACACAGACACGCACACATACACACACACACACACTCTCACGGCGACGGAGAGCGAGGGAAGGGGCGCAAGAGGCGGCCCACCGTGCCACCTAGGAGCCGTGCTCTCGCCCTCGCGCCGGCCTCATTTCTAAAGGGGGGCCCCCAGAGTGCCGACAGGAAAAAACAAAGATTGGCCATGGTTTCCCTTTTTCCAGACACAGACGTTTTCCACCTGGCTACCCTGCCCCCCTTGGGAGTCCTCCTTTGCAATCTATTTCCGCGGGGGGGGGTGGACGATCTTCGTTTACGTGCCCTTCCGTGCTCCAGGACCCCACACGGACTCCCAACTCTCCCTTGGGTAGAAGGGCTCTTTCCATCAATGACGCAACGGGGGTGATCATGTTCTCAGCCTAGGAATGGATGCTAACCATGCTCGGGACGGTAGCGCGCCATGACTGCGGCTGGGGAATGTCTGTGACTGGTGATACGACTTTCCCGTCAGGACACGTAATACCAAAAACACATCGGAAACTAACCCAGCGTGGTGGCCAGCGCGACGGCGAGAGCACCATTCCTACGTGAACGCGCAACCACACAATAACGCAAGCACGCAGTAAGTAATCATGCGTACGCAGGAATTGTGGCGCCGAGGGAGCACAGGAACCCTGATGACGACGCCGCAGAGAGCGCGGCAGCGACTCGAGCGCGGGATGCACTCCCAATCAGTCAGTCTCGGACTGTAAGCCAGTACGCCGAAGGTAGACAGTACCACTCGCACCCTGATGAAGACGCCGCCAAGAAAGTGGCCGCGATGCGAGCGTGGATTCCGTGTGCGCTGCTTTTGTGCTTGCCATTGCTCGGCGACGACGTGCCGCGCTGCGAGCCGCCTCGCTGTCCCAGCCTCGCGAAGGCTACGAGCCCACGAACAGTGCATGATCTCGTCGGTGTCGTACTTCTTACTGTTGACCGGCTCCACGCGCTGCACGAGCGCGTCTTGCTGGTGCCAAGCCACGGCTGATGGCTGTGGCGCGGGTGCACGGGCCTCTTCACGGGAGGGCGCCACACGGGTGCCGCTTTTGTCGTCTTGTGTGGCAGAGGGCGGGTTAGGGCGACGGCGCCTACTCCTTGAGCCCAAGTGGCTACGGACCCTCCTCCTCCTCCTCCTCCTCCTCGTCCTCCTATTCCTCCTCCTCCTCCTCGCACTCACCCTCCACCTTCCTCCATGCCTTTCCCTAATATGTAACCTCCTCCTTGTCGCACCCCCAGACGTGTCGGTAGGACGGGCTGAGCGTTTCGCTTAAGATTCCCTTACCTCTTACGATCCTGAAGCTTGAGACTCGCAGCCGTTTCGAGGATGGAGGGCGGGGCGTGTCAAAATGTGGATCTCGCCCTAACGCCGCGCATATTCGTTTTAAAAGTTGGTAGTGGTTTCAAGGGTGCAGGGCGGGCCGTTTTCAAAACGTGGTTTTCGCCTTAGCGCCGCGCACATCCGTCTTAAACATTTGCAACAGTTTCAAGGGTGGAGTGCGGCTTCTTTTCAAAATGTGTCTCTCGCCACAGCGTCGCGCACATTGGTTTTGCAAGTTTGAAACAGTTTGACGGGTTCGAAGGAGTGAGAATGAAGTCCCAGGAATGGTTTCCTGGCACGATTTAGGGTTGTCAAGACGCAGCAGGTCACGTTGATTCGCGTGTTGAAGTCTCATGAACGGGATTCTCAGACGGTTGTCTTCCAACGGGGCATTTCCTGTGATGGAACATGAATTCTTGTAGGGACTTGTGACGATGGAACCTGAGGGATGGTTTCTTGCAACATCGTTGATGCGTCTTGGGTTTGCATTCGTCCTCCTCCTCTTCCTCCGCCTTCTTCTCCTCCTCTTCCTTATCCTGCGCCTCCTCCCTCTTCCCCCCCTCCTCCTCCGCCTCCTCCTCCTCTTGGGACCGAAAGGTGACCTGGGAGCTGAAAAAGATCTTCGGGCTGTCCGACGACGTCAAGTGCTCGTGCACGGCCGTGCGCGTGCCCACCCTGCGGGCGCACTCGGAGAGCATCGTCATCGAGACCGAGAAGAAGGCGAGGTCTGTCGCGTCGCGCAGAGGGGCGGAGGAAGGAGGGCGAGGGAGGATGGGGCGCCCCGATCGGTCGGTCCTCGTCGGTCGTCGCCATCGCCGTTCGAGGTCTGCGGGCGTTGTCGTCCGTTCTCGGCGGTCGTCCAGCCTTGGGGTGCTCTCCAGCAGCTGCGCCCTCGCCGAGAGGCGTCTACTAGGATCACCGGGGGGCGGGGTAGGCCCTGAGATCCAGGCGTTGCATTTTTTTTCGCACCGAGCGTTCTCGCCCAGTTTCGTGCCCCGGGACCATCACCGTCGTGAGAAGAGGCCGCAGAAAGGTGGTGTGGAGGGCTCCGGTCGTGATTTTTCGCGGTGTTGTATTTTCCCCACCTCTCCTGTGTTGTGTTCTCGTTTTGAAAAGAGGCACTGTCGTCTCCAAGCGCGTCCTCCTCCTCCTCCTCCTCCTCCTCCTCCTCCTCCTCTTCGCCTCCTACCTCCTCCGCCTGTCTCCTCCTGGGTGGCTGCGAACTGCGCAACTGTCACCACTTCCGTGGGCTCCTGGGAGGTCCAGCGGAGTGGAGTTGCATGCGCATCCAGAGGGGACCTCGCGGCTCCCTGGGTGGCTGCGACCTGCGCAACTGTCGCCATTTTCGTGGGCTCCTGGGAGGTCAAACGGAGTGGAGTTGTACGCGCACCCAGCCGAGACCTCGCTGCTCCCTGAGTGGCTGCGAACTGCGCGATTGTCACCATTTTCGTGGGCTCCTGGAAGGAGGTCCAGCTGAGGTGAGGGCAGCACTTCAAGACCTCGCGGCTCCCTCGGGGGCCGCGAACTGCGCAACAGTCGCCACTTTCGTGGGCTCCTGGGAGGCACGGCGAAGTGCATGGCAGCGGGGGTCCTTTTGAGACCTCGTGGCTCCCTCGGGGCTGCGGCTGCGCAACAGTCGCCACTGTCGTGGGCTCCTGGGAGGCACAACGGAGAGCAGAGCGCCCACATGGCGCGTGGAGCCGATCCGTCATTTAGCGCGCGGCGCTGTTGCATCACAGGGCGCTTTCTGTAGGGAGCGTTCATACGAATAGTCGCCTCCCGTGGAGACGGGGTTGGGTGCGTCTCGGGTAACTTTCGCGCCGTCGGATCTCATGGGGGAGGAAGGGTGAGGGTGAGGGTGAAAGGACGGTGAGGGTCGAGGAAAGAGGGCGAGGGTGAGGGAGGGCGAGGGTGAGGGTCGAGGCCAGGGCATCTCCCGCTCTCGCAAGGCTCAGGCCGTCTTGCTCGCTCCCGCCAGCCCTCCCAACACACAAGTCGCACCCGAGCATCCCCGACAACAGCCGATGCCAAGTGGGTCGCGAGGCGCCCGCACCTGCTCCAGATTTGGAAACGCTGTGCCTTTTGTGTTGTAGGTTGGTAGGGGCTGCTGGCCTGCCCGCAGCAAAGCAACACGAGGGCACCCCCGCTCGCCACCACTGTCAAGAGCCGGTGCAGAGTGGCTGCGGGTCGCTCAGGCATGCTCCAGATTGGAGGCACCGTGTATGTTGTTTTGTTTTTTGACTGGGATGGTGGAGGCGGGGTGTCGTGGGGACGGGTGGGCTGCTGGTCGCTTGGAGG